TAAAAAAAAACGTCATCTCGACATTCTCGAGCGTAGCTAATTTTTTTTTATTTTGAAGGAAATAATTCAAGAATAATGAAAAATATATAATCTGACGATTTCCGCAAGCCGAAATAACAAAAATTCGTCGATAAAGTTAAATGCGTGCAGCTGCGTGATGCCTACATTTCCTTAAACCGATCGGAATCTACTAAACGGCGTTCTAAATATTTCCCTCAAAATTACATTTCCTGTGAATTTGAACCGATTCGGACCGATAGATTTTGAGAAATTTTGAAAAATCTTAAAAAATAAGAAATATTTTTTTTTAAAGTGGTTTCTTTATCGATCAACTTCAAAAACTAATCCACCTTTGAGCTTGAAAAACCACGTTGATCGCCACTAAGCTGGTCAAAAGCGGTTGATTCGTTCGAGAGATATCGTGAACGAAAGAAACCCGAAAAAGTGTTTATTCGGGATTACTCCGAAATTTGTGGTTCGATCAATTAAAATTGCAAAATTACTTATGAGGATGATAAAACTGCGTCGAATGCCGCCAACCGCGTGAAAATTGCTTGATCCATTCAAAAGTTATTGCGGTTTGAAAATTCCAAAAATAGTGTTCTATGAAACTTCTATCAGACTTTCGACCTGGGAGAGCTCAAATGCATAGAAATGTTATTTCTTTGAACTCAGCGAGCTCAAAATATCAATTTTAAGCGCCCAGGAATGGAATTAGCGGGAAGTTGCAGGGATGGCCCTTTAGGTGAACCGTTTTTCTAAATTTTTTTTGTCAGATCAGGCGAATCCCTCTAGATAATCGTCAGATTATGAGACAGTACGTTTAGAACATAAAGATGAACCACATATATCTTAATCTGACGCGCTTGAGTATTTCAAAATTGTGATTTTTTTTGCAAATTATGAAAATGGCTGTGGGTTTGCGTCCCATCGAAATCGTCAGATTAGTGAATGAGAGCTTTTTTTTGGTGCACTTAACACTCCCTTAGAAAATCTGACGCGCTCGATATTTTTTTTTTTTTCATTTTCAACCCTTAAATACAACCACCCGCATCATGCAAACGATCAGATTAACATACGTACATTATTAAAAATACGTAGGGCATAGATGCTATCAATATCTGACGCGCTCGAGGATGTCCATGCAACAGTTTTTTTTACATATTTAACTATCTATAGCCGCTTCCCCCACCGATGAAAAGGAATTTATCATATAACATTTTTTTCTTCTTATTATCTAAGCTTTGCATCCCAATAGGTCTCTACGACGCTCGAGTAAATCCCCATTTAGCATCGTGGGCTCCCTACCAATATCCATGTTTAGTAGTGCGACCCTGTCAGAAATTCCAGTGAAGCTTTCAATGTTTTTTCTCTGGTGTAGGTTTATTAAAAAGCCGACTCCATATTGACCTTGCGTAAATCCTGCATAACAGAGTATACAATTATTATATTCTTCAATTTTTGTTCCTAGACGTCGAGTTTCCGATAAACCAATTATATCGTAATTTATATTTTTGAGTGCTTCTGTTAATTCTAAGAGGCGCCCATAAGAAGACAGGGTTCTGACATTGTATGTCAGTATGTAGAGGTTGTTTGTTGCTCTTACAATAGAGTTACGTTTTTGAACACTTTTGCTTGCATTGTGCGTACAGATAATTTGAGAGTGGAGTGGAGGGTTGTGGTCTGGCTCTCCCGCGGGGACCAGCCGTGGTGGGAGAGGTGGAGGGGGCGCTTGTAATTGTTATTTAGCGATGTTTATAGATGTTGTAGCTTCATCTAAAGCGGGGCGTTTTGAATTTATTGCTTTTGTCAAGTAGTTATCGATATGGTTGTTTTTATTTATAATTTTCGCGACTTTTCGAAGTTTATTGGTGTCGCGGTTGGCTTCTATCGACTTTGGTGACGACGACTGGTTTCTCTTCTTTTTTCCTGGTCTTGACCTTTCAGTGTCAGTATTTTTATTCTTTAAGAAAATAATTTTATCGTACTTTAGAATCGCTAGTCTTCCATTTTATCGTTCAGTGTTAACAACTATTTGCAATTCCTTGCGTTTGTTAAGAATTTCTAAAGGAAAATCTTCTTTAACATAGTACGGTGTTGATTCAAATTTTTTCTTTTGTTTAAGGATGTTTATTTTTAACCCCATCGTTGCTAGTGTGATAACTATGGGTCTGGTCTTCTCTCCCTTTTTTCCTAGTCTTCTCATGTATTCGATGCTGTTTTTGTCGCATTTTATATCTAAACATTTATCGAAAATGTCCACAACGCTTTTTTCTAAGTCCCAGTAGCTTTGTTCATTTTCCTCTACTCCAAAAATGAGCAGGTTTTTTCGACGCGAGTTTCTCTCTAGTGTGTTTATTTTACTTGTTTGGATTTCGAGTTTTTCTTCAAATATTTTGTTTTGGTTTTCCAGCTCTCTAAACTTTTCATTTATGCTTCTATTAATTGTCTCTTTAATATCTTCCTTCATATCCTGCATGTCGCGTTTTTGTTGGTTTATTGCCTCCTGCATTGATTTTAATATATTTTTAATTTCTTCCATTGTACCCGTTCTTTTACTCAGAATCGAATAGAATATAAAACAAAATAAAATAAAAATTACACTATAAATTGAACAAGAATAAGTAACTAGATTTGATCTTTGATCCGTTGATAAAGCGTCGTCGTCGTACTGAGGCGGCCAGCTACTGGTTTGACGAAGTGGTTGAATTTCTTCTATATATATTTTGTTTTGTTAGTGACATTTAATGTGATGACTAATAATTATAAATGTTATCAGTCAAGTATGCACTTTCACTGTGAAATATATTAATTAACGTTCCACTCCACAATAAATAGTAACTTTTGACTCTTTTTTACACTTCCAACATAAAAAATGTTAATATTTGCAGGTTGGTCCGTGCTGAGTCACTCATTCAATACGTTGCAGATAATGTTGTTTTTTCAAGCATTTATTCGAAGTTTCTGCAGTAAACAATTTTTTAAATCGTTAGTTTGTATCGATTTATGACTTTTAAACATAAATTTGCACTATATTATTCACTTTATATTTTTAATTATATTTTTAATAACATCGGTAAGACGGAGCTTGTGTTGACAGTTGGTGCACGCACTACCCTCCCATTTCTAGCGTTATCTATGAATAATAGTAGTACAGTAGTGATATTTACATTGCTTGTCTTGAAATACATTTATCTTTATACTACCCGGAGTTGTATTTAATATTTATGAACTATAATAACTGAACTGCCCTGCAATTCTGTAACTCACACTGTGTGAGTTCGAAAAGTGAGTTACAGAATCGCAGGGCTGGTACAAAAATATTTAAGCCAACACCATCGCTAAAACTCGTTTTCTAATAAAACCAGAGCGTAGACTTCCCCTGATATCACCATGTAATCTGGCTCTAAACTAAGATACTCGTAAAAATAGTTTGAGTTACAAAGTTATTTTATCCATAAAGTTATTAAAGCAGATTAGCAACAAAATTTAATGAACGACTAAGACCTGGTGCAGTTGCGATGATTTTTTATTATTTGTATAGGATTTAGCATCGATAAAATGTATAGAAGGCTATGGCTAACATAACGCTTTTAATTCACTAGCAGTCTCAGACTTCCTATTCGAAGTCGTACGTGTAGTAAATTATACCAGTTAAATGAGAAATATTAATAATTGTTACTGTCGTATTGATGTATAAGTACCACGCGACCTAGGCTAATACCTTAAGATACGATGTTACAATTTAATACGTACTATTATTATTACCAGTTTAATCAAGGGTAACTATTTTAAATTGCTTTCTTTCTAGTTTAAAAGAGGGTTTAATATTGCATTCTGTTTTATAGTATTGTTATTAAATTATGTAACTGAATGTATATATCAGTCCGTGTGACTAGAATATTCGACTTCAGATCATGAGGTCTCGGGTTCCATTTTCGGGTGTGAGAATTAAAATATGGCGTTTCGATTTTTACGAGAAAAGTTTAATGGGGACTGTCATGCGCCTGCGCTCGTCAAATGCAGTCGTGTCGATCATCCTGTCCATTGCAGTATGTGAGTTATGGAAGAGGGAGTGCGTGTCCTGCGTACATGGCAAGTCTCAATAGAGATAAGGCGCCGTGACCGAGTCGGGGACAGTTACGTTTACCTGCTTTAAGACCCGCGGAGATATTCAAGTCCTAAGGTATAATAGGATAGATAAGGACTAAATATTGAGGGGATTTACTTTAATAGTTTTTTACGTAGTTACAAGAGTGCATTGTAAAAGTGTAATATTGTGCGCAAATATTGTGAATGACATTCAAAGTAATCTTAGATTTGACACGAATGAAGATGACTTTGAAAATATTACGTGAAGCACTGGTACGTAAGTAGATAAGGAAATAAAATATTTCATGCGATGCCTATATTGAAATTATGAACATTCATCATACATATAGATTTAATGACGCGGATAATAATGGCGTGGATATAAATCCTCCATCAGGTAACGCTGCAAAGACTTTATTGCGTTGCTAAAGAAACCAGTAGCTCTACAATTGTTGTAGATATTCTGAATACGCTTTTCAAAGTTGATTGAGTGACTAATTGAATGATAATGACCCATCATTATCACTCAATTTTATCCAACAACTATCTCCTAATAAAGATATATATAACATATATAATATAAGAGTAAAAGTAGGTTAACATGTCATATGTCATACATTGTCATTGAGACCTCCAGCGGATGAAAAAGAAACGTGGGAAGACCACAAAAGCGATGGGCTGAGAATTGTTGTAGTGTAATAAAGTACATATGAACTGTGTATTCCAATTAGTTTTATTTATTTTATTTAATATAAAATATTTATACTTGTAGATATCTCAATTTGTAGGAAATCCTTTAATTTCATAAGTGCACATCTACTTGTTTATTCATAAATATATAAAACTCGATTATTTTCATTTAATTTCTTTAATACGCCATATACTTTCAACGGGTTAAATGTACTTACATCTTTCAAAGAAGAGGCAATGAAGATCACATACACGCTGGTTCCTCCGAGACAGACTCCGGCCATCGAACAGTCAGCGAAATGCCTAGAAAGAGGTAAAATTTTATACGAAGATATTTCAATTAGAATGCTAAGAAATTTCACGATTAAATAAAATATTATATAAACTATTATTAAAAGGGTATATAACTAAACTTAAAGGGTATATAGCTAAACTTTACTCTTAAGAGTAATTCGTACGTAAATTCGTTAGTTTTTCACGGCTCGAATCGCTATGAATAAACTTCATAGAAATCGGATTTTTAGACGAATTTTGAGCGATTTATGCCTGCATAAGCTTGTTGACATCTGCTCAATTGCTGTGTAAAAAAAAATATTTAATTTATTTTTACATATTGTTCTCGGTAAAATTACTTATATACAGTGGATCGATCTTTCAAACAGACTTTTATTACTTTTTCTCGTATTCACATTCAAGTTTCTTCATATCGGTTTTTTAAATTGATAATTAATAACTGGCTTAAAAGAAAAATATTTAAATTATAAACGACCGTCGTAATAATCATTTGCTTTTAGCGCCGCTCTGCGTAACATCAGAAATAATTATATTATGACATTAATCGAAAGGTCTTCTTCTGTAATGGTCGAAGTCTTTGTTTTAATAACTATGTATATGTTTCATTTTATTATGCTATATTATGTTTGAACTGTGTTGGCTTCAGTGAGGTAATATTTTCGATTACCGTCTGTTAAGTAATGGACTTTCTATCTATGCGTATTTAACATCCACTCGTAAGGTGAAGGAAAATATCGTGAGGAAACCGGCATGCCTAGACGACGACGCGTGACAGCCACAGAATGCTGGTGACGTATGTTACTTGCCTGATGTTTAGTTAGAAAAAACAAATGATCATAGAACAGGTACAGAAATCCAGACCATAAAGTTTGTAGGCAATGTTTTTTTTTGATAATATTTATGAATAGTATTGACTTTTATTGACAAAACCTTTACACATTTAAAGAAAACACTTTTTACCGGATTGAAGTTATGTAAAATATTTAAAATAATTGTAAATTTATTTACATTACATTTTATTTTTTATATAGTTATATTATACATAACTTCAATCCGGTAAAAAAGTGTTTTCTTTAAATATTTATGAATGAAATAAAATATATAACATCATTTATCTTTGATAAAGAACTGTGTTCTCATTAAGAAAATGACAATTTTATTTTATTATTTTTCAAATTATACGTCACCTATGACATATGACAGCAGATTTAATTTTGTAATTTAATTTTCTGGGTTCATAATTTGTTATTTTAAAGTCATTGTTGCACATTAAATTGTTATCGGAACAGAGGTATTATAATGAACCGTCCGAAATTGATGTACGCTGAAGCCTTTTGTTAGCTCATAAACGGGTAGCAAAATAGAAACAATTATTTATTGTTTAATGTTACTACCCAAATAGACAAAGCAGACGCATTGCATAATTTCGGACGTACCTCGGATCTCGAACAATATGGAAATTCTCCGTGGATTTACAAATTATCATTTAGAGAAATAAGAGGGTTTAAGGGAGTGATTCTATTCGCGTCTTGATGGAAATAATGTATTTTCATTTTTCTATAGAAACATTCCTTTATGTCACAATATTCTTACACAAGTTTTTTATCAAGCGACATCGTAATTCTTTTCATATTTGATTATCATTTCATGTATTCGATAAGTTTTAAAGTTGACTTATGGAATTTAAAAATTGGCAGTTAAGATGGCTACAACATATTTTACATGTCTGTAGAGTTTTCTTTAAAATAGAATAAATTACAGAATAAAATAAATGTAAATTTATTCTGTAATTTAGTACGTTTGTTTTAGTCGCAAGTTACGATGTCGACTAACAAATGAGCTAAGATAACTTAGATAAATACATTAACCGTAATACCTATGTTTTAATTGTAAATAACTTACCGGACCGCTACGGAATAACGCCTCAATTTCCTTGGACCACGCTCGAAGGCTTTGGCACACGTGTCTGTGTAACTTAGTGAACCGAGCCTGCATTCTTGGCAAACCTCCCGAGATGTTTGCACCTAAAACAAACATTACGTTTCGTGACCACCCGAGTTACTCTTTAAAGCTAAAAGGTACCAATATGTGCTGTAAAGTACCTACTGGAATGTCGAAAATAATATTAACAATAACGCGTAATTCAAACCCCGCCCCGCATCGTAACGTTTTACAAAAGGACCCCCCCCCCTCACAGAATTCGTTACGTAATACTTGAACGCTCCCAAAGCACCTGTTCAGATTTAGAACATTGACCAAGGTGAAGGTGCGCGATATATCGACAACTCACGAGAGTTATTTTAACATAGTATATGCAGATACTCGTAACACTTATTACATATAAATTTTAATACACATCCACACTGTCTGGCAAGCTGAACAACATCATTGAAACAAAAAACTGTTAAACAAAATATACAACATTGGATAAATAATGATTTTAAATATTTACAAAAAGAACAGTATACTCAAGTATACAAAGGGTTCGTAAATCAATGAAGTTAATTTAATATCAAATGCATGTAAAGTGTGCCCCTTTCAGAACCTTTGTTCTAGCCGAGGGCACAATATTATTGGCGGATAATGTTCGTGTATGTATCGTTATGTAAATATTGTCTCGAGATTGATTTCCAATGTTCTAGGGTGAGATAATAGTCGAGATTTATCGCGAACTATGACTAGCGTAGACTCTGAATATAAGGGAGAGAATGACATATTGGATTTGTTAGCGCAGTCTCGGCTCTGCATTTTACTCTTGATTTCCAGCCTAGGTTCACTCTTGCAACACTCAATTAGACTAGATGTGAGTTACAACTATCGAAAACATTAAGGAAATCAAATCAAATAAAATTTGCTTGAAAATATGTTTCAAAATTCAAAATGATTTAAAAGATGCAGTCTGTGAGCTGCAGTGTGTCACTTGGGAATTTAATTTCAGGCATTGTTAAGAACGCCCCCGAATAAAATCCAGCAAACGCAGCTGGTTTCGACCAACTTTATACATTATTGAAACTTTATACATATTTTGGGTTTTCAGACTGACTATTCTAGAACTGCACTAGAGATTTAGTTGCAAAATCTATAAATAGACAGGGAAATAAATAATTATTTTGATTTGGACCTTTACAAGTGACGTAATTGTGTAAAGTTTTTTTTATGATCCACGAACTAAAATTAGAATTATCATTTCTCTATACTTGTTTAAAATCGCTGGGAGTAGTTGCTTGCTTGTTCATTGATCGAAACGTATAAGTAAGTACTTAAGTAAGTACACTTCACACTAGGTTTAATAAAAGTACCTGAACTATACAAATATATTTTTATCTCAAACGAAATTGGCCGATCATCGGATTAAATCTCGGGACCGCCGCAAAGGAGGCCTTAAGTCATTTTCCGAAACACTTAGGAAGATTAGGATTGATGTTCATAACGATACCTATAGAATTAGGTTATGAAATGATCGTATCGTTTCATGAAACTTATTAAGTTTTCGAACCCTTTTCTACATGGACGCAAACGTGGTATTTGTAATAATTAATATTAATACTTAAACATACAAATTATGAAAAGGTAAAGTTCTAATGCTGGACAATACCCGCTTTATCGAAGGGTAAATTCAGGGTAGAATTCAGAATCAAGACTCAGCCCTATGTCTGTCACAAAAAGGTATTTAATTTGACTTATAGAAGTCTTACTTAGAACTTAGCTTGATACGCTCGTTTTACCCTAAGTTAATCTATCAATAAGCTTTTCTTCGATACCTGCATGCAAAAAAACACTGATTACATATTATACAAATATGTTTTTCCTATTTGCCGATTTAAAAATTGTTATGTATTTTAATAACTAAATGTACATGACAGTAATTTGTTTAATTATACTGAAGAGCGAAAGCGTTTTACAATTGTTTCACTGTTTAAATATAATTACGGACGCACATTACGAAGGAACAGTTTAACGAATGTCTAGACTCTAGAACATAATAATTGATTACCACTCTTTTCGCGGAAATATTATGACCTTGGTGAAACAGAGATATAGGTATTATTACTCCTCTTTATTTGTTTTGAAAGTGTCGCTTTAACTTTTATGATTATGATTAATTTATTGTAAACTATCTATTTCAGTAAAGTAAAATTAGGTAAACGAGTATTACTAACATTGTGCACAAAATAATTTCCGTAGAATAAAGATATCCTCGAGTTTTTTTATAATAACGCGTTTTGCAAAAATTCTGAAAAAATAGATACGAATATAGAACATCAACCAAGGAAGTTGCAAATGAGAAAATATTAAAACAGTCGTTCGTATTAGTGCTTCACGACTTTGTCCCCCGGAGCAAGAGATATATTCTTATTTTTAAACTTAAATTAGTCACTGTTTTTCGTCGTGTTAGTCTAGTCGACAAGTTGAAAATGGTACAAAATAGAGATACTGCTCTTAAAATTATGTGCGATAGCTCATTGGATCCGGAATGACGTCTCGACTCTCAACGACGGTTGCGTTAACCGCACACAAGTTGCGATGCTGGCTTCGAATTGATGGGACATCCTTCATAATCACCAAACTGTTTCCACGGGTAAATGAACATCTCAGAGAGCCTTCTTTTTTTTCAGATGATGGCGCAATAATCGCTCCGGTACACGACTTTTTAAGGGATAAGGGAATTTCAGATTTAGTAAATAGATATACCAAATGCATTAACGCGTGGCTACGTACGAAATACGAAAGGTGGCTACGTCGAAACATAAATTACCATTAAGTAAAAGAAAATTGCGTAATGGCCCTTATTACTTTTTATTGAATACCTCTAGTATATTTGGAGAGAAGTAGTTACGTAAATTTTCTATACCTTAAGCAAATAATATACTGTGTAACCTCTTTATAACGAATTTCAAGGGACTGAGCATTTTTGTGTTATAGAGAGTTGTCGTTATAAGGAGAAAAGAGAAAATAAAAACAAATTTTACCAATTCCAATAATTTCTAATTTTATTACTATCAATAGGTTAATTATTCTAAGCACATATATTCTGTTAACTTTGCCTGACGTGTTTTGCTATGCCAATATTTGTTCATTGTTGCCAATATTTGTTCAATGCAATTAACAATAACAAAGGCGAGACGGCTGTTTATGACCTCAGGTGTATTTCTTAGAAATTTCGGCTCCTCAAAAGGATAGTTTTGTAAGCCGATTATAAAAACAATTACACGTATGTTGTTAATGTCTAAATATGAAAATATTTCTTCGTAATAGAGAAAGGCTGTTGCATTATAAAGAGTGAACAAATGTATGAGTTTTGTGTTAAACCAAAAAAATATAACCTATTTTTATTTTTTAGACAGTTTTTCGTTATAACGAATGAAGTTAAACAAAGAGTTTACACTGTACAAAGATAAAATTTATATCCTATCTGAGGCTTTAATATTCAGGAATGGAATTTCAAATTAGTTTACGAGTACTCCTATACATTCTACGTTTAGATCGCAGAGCATGGATTTATTAACAAAAGTTTTATGAAGAGAACAATTTTCTTATTACTATTCGCCTATATTTTGTTCGCCTTTTCGGATTTCATATCTGACAAAAGTCTGACCAAGAGTTTTGTAAATATCCAATTGTATTCTATAATAGTCTTGCTTTACTTTAAGTAGGTATATAACTATGACCGACTTTTGAATATATTATATTAATAATTATATATAATTCAATGAACATATACATTTCATATTCAATATTATAAACATCAAATGAGTAGGAATTTCATGTCACATGGCATTACTAATTATAGTTATAATCAAACTATAATCAAATCAAACAGATGCCGCTAGGGCCGGTGGGGGCTGAAGTTATTTGAAATATTCTAATTAAGGCTTTAATCTACTTTATAAACTAAGCGTTTAGCTCTCTTTATATGACCCTTTTCCTAAGTTAAGTAAGATAGATAAGTTTATTATTTTCACGACCTGAAACTGATCTATCTGATCTATCTCTGCTTCTGAAATTCGCGCAGGAAATATGCACTATAAAGTATGTTTTACAATTTACACAAACGTTTATTATCAAACAGCTTTTCACGATGTGAATTAATAACTGCATACATACATATGTTTGTAAATACTTTAACCAAACGCTAATAACCATTTATTTAAGCCGGGAGTTGAAAATATAAAATGGTAAAATTCGCTAGCATACTACCTTCCTGTAAAGTTTGAATAGCTTTAACTTTACAGGGATTTAAGTAGCAGGTGCATAGTACAAAAACTTAAAATTAAAGTTAGGATCGAAATCGATATCGCTATTGTAAATTACAGAGCTAACAATTTGTGGAACAGTAATTCATACAAAGAGTGTCCAGACTGATGTTATTACAGTAGTAATTGAGCCTAATAGTGTTTATTGCACCAATACATTGGGATTTCTATTACCATTGAATACCAATTGTACTTTAGGCAATTACAGTTAAAATAGCGATTAGAGGTATAGTTTGCGAGTTTGACTAGTTTGATTTAATAATTTATATGCAAATTTATTATGTAATAAAAGAAAATAAAACGAAAGCACCTTAAAGACATTGTTTTTCAAAAGACTGTTTATAGATTCAATCTAAGAATCCCGGATCTTATTTTTCTGATTTATACATTCTTCCCACTATTTATCGTCTATCCCTCAAGGCACAACCTTATTTTTATATTTATTTACCGTACTATAAGTATTTACTTTATTCAAATTGAGTAAATACTAATAGTATGGTACAGACATTTCAAAGGACTTTAATATTAAAGGTATTTTAAGGTCCTTTGAAATATGTGTATACTTTCAGAAATAAGGTTTACGTTCATGTATTAAATTGTTTATTTAATATTCAACATAATTAAATATACAACATTGTTTCAATCTTGTTATTATAACAAAATGAAACATTTATTTATTTATTTAATTAAAAAGAAATAAACGAATGAGTACTACAGTTAATACCTACAGTGTTTTAGAACTGATTACTTTAAATTAATTAGGGTATTTATCGAATTGCAAAAGCATTGCGTGTTGTATTGCTTAGCATGTTTGACTGAAGTTAATAGCGTTAAAGTTAAAATCTCTAACAGTTAAAAAACGATATTGCGATTTATAAGTCAAATATCAAGATAGTAACGATGTCCTGCGACTACGCACTAATTTTAGTAATATACGAGGGGCGTTCAATAAACAGTGATAATACTATAAATTCTCCTTGGAAACAAAAATATAAATATGTATAAATGCTTGGCTTATCAGGAAATGTTATGATCGAGTCAATTGACCGTTGATTTTTATTGTTGCTGTGGTTAATCATTGATATTCGTCTTATTACTTTTAAGAATCATATTTTTTTTGGTTGGATTTGTTCTGCCATTCAACAAGCTGGCTTCGAATTAAAGGAAAGACCTCCATAGTCACCACTCACCAGACCTAGCTCGTAGTGATCTCATCTCAGGGGCCATACATTTGAAGACGATGACGCTGTAGCAGCCGCGGTACACGGAGGAAGGAATCGAGCAGAAGTTTTCTGAATTTATTAAAAAGGGAATTTTAGGTTTGGGAAAAATATTTACAAAGAGTATATACCTGAAAGGTGACAACGTTAAAAAAATAAAATGGCTTTTCATAAAAGATAATTGCGTCATACTAATTATCCATTTTTATTAAACGACCCTAAAATTAAATTTTGTTAGCTACGAGAAATTAAAAAGGAAATCTGCATATTAATTCCAAATAACATCACGTCAATATAAAGGATAAAATATTTATCCGACTAACCGTAACCGACTACTTAATTAAAGATTTTTAGTGAAATGAATATAACCTTAACTTTATGCCAATAAACAACGGAATTTACCGCAATTAATTTTTTTCTAAAATTGCTCGTTATACCGTTACTAATTTATTACATTAAGCACGCAAGTTTTAATTTACTTCCCTTTAAATATCGTAAGAAATGATATTTACTATCGCGATATTACTATAACCACAAATCCGCCTATAAACCATATATTTTTTTTTAATTAAATAAAAATACCTGCAAAATACGACTTCGGGTTAACATGACAAAAGTATATGACTCTTGACAATGACAATAACAAATTTTAGATATTTGTTGTGATAAACACAGACTACAATATATTTTAATCTTTAATTCTATCTTAAAATTACGTATATTATTTGATTTCTCAATCTTGGCAGTAAATGCACTTTCTATTGTTGATTTACCTATCTGTTAGGTTAATTTATGAGTATTGACTCTATGGGAAGTTTCCACCCGCCCGCCGCCATGTTACGGCCTGGCCACGGGGATCGGCGGTGCGAACTGCGATGCGGGAGGCGAGGCGACCATTCGCGCGGGGCCGTTTGCAGGCCACGGACCAGTCACGTTTGCCGCCGCGACCAGTAAGGAAGTTCGACAGCGAAATGTCTTTATCGAAATCATCAATTTGGAGAAATTGTGGAGAATTCCACAAGAAGTATGAGAAATTCAGAATATATCCAGAATTATTTTTTTGAGTATACCAGAATGAGTATTGAAACCTTCAATTATATTCTTATGAATATTCAACCAGAATTGGAGAAAAAAGTTAATGCAAAAAGAATTTTAAGTTCCGCTGAAAAATTGTTTTTGAGATTAAGGTATATTAAATTAATGCTGTGGATGGCCAGACTTCCAAATAGCTGGTCTAGCCAGTATTTCAGTAACAAAAAACTCTGTATTCATTTTTCGCCGCGACCACGACTAAACTTATTTATTCCCTTCTCTATTCGCCGCGACTGCCGCTCGACTCCGTGGCTTGCACCGTACTAATTCATGCATTTGTTTCGCTCGCCCGTCGCGACGTCAGTCGCCCGCGCGATTCGCTCGGTACATTTCGCCGGTCGCATCGCTGGTCGCCGTTGCGCGTGGCTTGATTAGTACATTGCTATGAGTTTATTTCAGTCGCTAGACGCATCGCGGTTCGCACCGTGCGAATATTCGCGTCGGCGAATGTCCCGTGGCCAGGCTGTTAGGTTGCTTGTGCGCGAGTGGGGTAAAATCGGTGCACCGACCCGTGAGGAATGTCGGTCCCCACCATGACCTAGAACTCCCTACAATAGCCAAACGGATATAGTTGGTGTCCAAACACCACTTTGACAACACCATCCCAACCCTTGCTGCGTCAACTACTTACTTTTCCCGGCAAAAATGGCCTGTAGGAGGCTGCGTCACATTTTAACAGATTTTACATTAACCCCGCCCGCACAGCAACATCTGTTAAGGTTGGGGCCGGCTCCGCTGGGGGAGTAAGATCAGTTCTTGACTCACTCTAGTGACTTTCCGTCGCGGCCTACAAGTGTCGTGGAAAAACCCATTTTCAGGTAGAGAGGCTACGCTCGCCAAATCAAACCGAGTTTCAACGAATTTCATTTTTTTTTAATTAAGCCGAATTACCTAACAAGTAGCATCAAACATTGTACTCGAGGAAAACTCTCTTTACCCAGTGCTAGAGTGTTATATCTTAGTAGTTATAATGAAGTAACGAAATAAATAAACATCCCTTTCGTGTTTTCTTACATATTACAGTTTCCGAATCAATGATGCTTCAAAATTATTTAATGTTTATGTAACAAATTGCACTACATACCAGTATGTGAACACAGTGGGTGGCAATTATCCCTACAAGCACGGTACCAAAGCAACCAGGTATGATTCCAGTGTTCTTAAATGCTGCTGGCATCGCCAGGAGTCCAGATCCCAAGGATGACTTTAGTAGGTGGAAGAATGACCCGCTGGTTCTGAAAAAGCCATAGTTTTTGATATATACACGCATATATTTTCCATTTTATTATATTTTACGTGCAGTTCAACGGGTTTCAATATTAGCTATCCGCCTCTCAGAGTTAGTCGTCCCATGCTGCGCCCGACAATGTAAATTTATCAACCGTAACTGCATATAATATATAGCACTAATATCAATTTAAGTAAGTCACACAAGCTGTCGCATCCTTTTGTTTGTTTGTTTTTGCATGAAACCTAACCTAACCTAACTAAAAGTTTGTTTAAAATCCTGAGAATCACAAAAATACAATGTTTCAAATATTAAAAATTATAATTATAATATATTGGGCCTCAGACTTATGTATCTGTTTCGTTATTTTTTGAGGTGATCAGCCTTTTTTGCCTCACGCGGTCGACTTTTTAGGTCTAAGGTATGCCTTCCTCACCACGTTTTCCATCCTCCGAGCGAGTTTTAAAGTCCATTGGAGCATAGGGAACCTGTCGTAGGTTCAGCCTGACTTAGGTCTCAGGCTGAAGCCATTGTTAACTCTGCTCACTGCACACGCTTTTAATATACTTGTAAAATAGACATTGATGAATTATTCGAACGGCCCTACACATTTGTTCCACGTGCCAACATTCGCGTACCTAACCTATGTTTGGCTTATAATATAAAAACATACTCACAGAGAACTCAATTGTTTCCAATATTTTTTTAAAACATTAAATGAATATTTACACAATATAGAGTGGTACCACTTAAGGATTCAGCGAAGAGAGAATCAAGATTCTTTATTTATATACACGTAATATTGAATAAAAACCGGCATTTCTTAGATAAAATTTGATGACTAACTTAATACGTTGAAAATTTTTCTATAAATGCAAATAAACATAGATGAATGTAATTAAATCTAATTGACACATTGTCGCATAAGTATATTACACGTGGCATATAAAATAGAAATAAATAAATATATATAAAAATACAATTTATTTAGTTAAAATTATACCAGTATGAACTGAATAAACACACAAAAAGAAACATTAAGTGAACACTGTTTTTCAGTTTTCGTAAATTGGACTGGCAGCACCACACTTACGCAAAAACATTGAAGATTTACAAAATAACAATTCACACCACCGAAATTATTGATATCTAAAATAAAGATAAGATAATAATTAAAAAAAACACCAAAATAACTAAATTTTTATAGTATAATTTATTGTATTAATTGTCCGGGGGTGCAACAACTCTGAATGGGTTTGTTGCCACGGAATTATAAAATTAATGATTCCGAAACAGATACATTTGATAGATATATATAGATATATCTGAGGACCAGACCTAAAAAAATTGGGTTTCTGACATGGTGGTTGCGATCGTTTTATTCAATGTACGAGCAAGTATAATTCGGTCTTTATTGGGTTTTCTTTAATAAAAGTAACATATTAAATGAACGTATTTACTCAATGTTTTAAGTCAAATTATATACTTGAATAACAATCCCCTAAAAGTAATAATCCCACGCTCATGACTCAACTGTTAATTAGCCATGATTCAATCATTTATATTACAGTATTTTTTGTATTTGGTACATTAATCACCTTGATAAACCTTGCCTCAATTAATTATAATGAGTAAAATCTGACTGAAGGTTGGTTGTCAGTCTCTTCAGTAATAGGAGAGGTACCAAAAGAAGATAAAGAATAATGATCAAAGAACAGACAAACAATGAGTCTAATGTTAGGGAAGATACAGGACTTCTTAAATAATAACAATCTTTTACTGAATTGGATTGGCTAAACAAACACAAAAATTCCAAATTATAGTTACTTTTCTATTAGTTTTACAAATACTTGCACATAAAATAACCTACAACACAAATATCCGAATGAATGGTTTTTTTTATTATAATTTTAATTAAAATAGAGGAACTACTTAGTTGCCGCATCGTTTACTTGCACTTGTATACGACAAAAACGTTTCAATATTTTAATTAATTATAATATAGAAGCGTTATTTTTTGCTAAAAGGTTACATTCGACAACGTAAAGTTCGGTCTTTAAACTGTACTACTAAATATGTAAACTCTAACTATGTATGTAAACTGTATGTTCATCAAAGAATAAAGCGTTTCATTAGATTCAGATTAGCTAAATGTAACGGCTAGTCTGGGTCTGGGGATGTTGTCTTTCTTTCTGGTGCCTCCTGGGCGAGGGTGCGATCGCGATAACCGTTTTGTGGTTAGAAGACGTATCCGTATCATGGGACACTACGACTTCGCTTTTTAGTTTACGCAGCGAAGGTATTATTAGTTTTTGACGTGACAACGTCTTATAATTCGATGGAGCCGGCTGCACGCACGAAAAAACATGACGCATGCGGCGTTACCTCGCGGTGCGGCGTTTCCTTTTCAGGCGTTCCATTTAAGGCTTGAAGTGCAAGCGAGAGCTCGGAACGAACGACAAAGAGGCACAATCGGCCTCCGCGTTCGGCAGCGTTCGACATCTTTATTGTATATAAAGTATATATCGTATTGTATCATAATATATATTGTATCGATCAATTCAATTGTGATTTCCATTTACCTCCATCTCTATATCCATACAAAATATCTATCAAACAAATAAAATTAAAATTTTCTTTTGAAAAAAGTAACCATTCCATCAGTATTTTCTTATGACGTTGTCACGTTCAACTATCTTCAGTAAACCGACTTTACAGACAACCGATTTTTCGTTTGTAAACGGTGTGGACTCAGTTTCCGCACTTAGCCCATTTGGTCCGTTGTGCGTAGATTGGAAACCGCTAATCATATGTTTAGATTCTAACCTGGCGAGTGAGAATGTAAAACGAAGGACGAGACGATGACGTTTTCGTTTCGGATAAACGGAGAGACCGGTCGTATCGCGTGTGTGATTAGACAATTGTTGAACAATCACAATGAAACGAAACAAATTGTGGTCTCGTTTTAGATTCGATTAGAGGTACTCAGGTTTTTCCAAGAGAGTGTATTTCGATCGAATATAAATTCTGTAATGTGGCTAATGGAATATAGTTTGGCAATTGAAAATATATATACTTACGATGTGGGGTGGGCAACATTTCTATGCTTGAAGGGATTGTAAACATTATCTTCTTTATTTTCTGGTGTTAATGTGACAGTGGAAGATACACACGACTTGTCTTCAACCCTAAAATTGTTAAAATTTTAGTTACAGCTATTGAAACAACTATATAAAGCATTATTGTTTAAAGCTATTTATAACCATATATTATACGACATATTCATGAATAATTATAATTGTTTAATATGACTCATTAAGGTTTTATAAATAATTAATAAATTACATTTTTGTATTTCCTGTTCCTTTTATTTAATTTCCATAGTATATTGTATTTGTAGGAATGTTTACTAACTTGGTGCCACTAATTTTAAATAAAATAGTGTGAACTAACATATTTACGACACCTTGGTGTAAGGTTATTCACAAGTTGATTTTCTCGTATTTAAAAACATTATTCTGGTATTGTATTAATTTAAAATCCAAACTGGTTTATACTTATTTAGAAATAACGGTTTATTTATGCTTCAAGTTCTGTTTGTGATAAACGTATCTTGTCATGTCAATAATCAAAATTATTTATTTTATAAAAGTTTGTATGTTGCGTTTATGTCTTACTGTGTATCAAAACCAACTTGTTGGATGGTTTTTATGAAATTACGATAAAATAACAACTAAGTAGATATACACTCACTGTCATTGATATAATGAATACTATTATAAATTAGGCTGAATGTTGAATTGATCTACAAATGGATTGATGGCCACACAAAAGTTGAAAATGGCCACACTAATATTTGGAAAGGTTAAGCATATGTGTCAACGATATAAAATGTTAAACGTTTTAATGCAAGAAAAAGGTACAATATATAACTAAGCATTATTTAAAATAAATAAAATAAAAACGTCTACATGATCTACTAAAATCCCAAACAATAACGTAAATAACTCACCTGTTTTCCATTGCAATGTTCTTCTACACACGATTAGTCACATCCAAACATGAGAATAAAATGCAAATATTGCCACGAATATTACATTGTGGGAATTCACGCTACCGTTAACGCGACAAACGACTTTGCGAAGTGATTTTTATGTGGATATGAGAGATAACCGTGACTATGATTTTTGGATTTGCTAGTACATCCGTAAGGGACATAATGAAAATAATTTATTTGATGTATTTATGACTCATTAAAAGTTACTTACAAACCCTGTGTACCTATTTTTAATATATATAGCCTTCTAACCACGAGCAAACAGCAGTGGAGTGTATTCTCTCCTTTCCTAAAAAGGGACTTTATTAACCTAAATTAGGTCTGGTGGGATTAGCGTCTTCCGCTGGACCCGGGTGGCGACTATTCCGGAAATATCCACAAATTTATTAACAGCATACATGCCGAACAATAATTATAGACTAACTTACATTGCTTTTGATGGTTTTGGAGGTTCTCGCTGCTTGTATAATGTTATGTTTATGCGCTATTTATTTCTTTGATGCCATAGAGGTGATCATTCAATGAGATTTAGTTCTTCTGTAGCGCCTTCATAGTTGATTCCGGTCGTGTTTCTAATGGCCTCAATGGCTGTTGTTTTTGGTTTGGGGATAGTATTCATTTATAGAATCAAAGGTGATCTGACATTGTTGAAGCGCAAACTGCCACTTTAGTTGAAAGGCTTGAATTTAATAGTGTAAGGTGCAAGTCCACGATAACCTATTAAATTTAATTCTTGCTCTCTTCTGATATCAGTATACGGTTCTTTGTTCTTCTTTGTTGTAGATTTGTTTGGAATTTAATTTAAAGTTTGATCTAGCAACCTAAAAAAAAATTAACGAATGAATATCGCTATAATGTTATTATTGCTATGTCGTCATAGATTGTTGAGGTTAGACAGTTGATTTTAGAAAAAATAGGTGTTTGCAACTTTTGCAATCTTCAGGTTGCCACAGAAGCCCTATCGCTAAATATCGTGCATTAATAAATTAAAGCGCTGCTATCTAATTTTACATAAAGAAATGGATAGTAGGTTAGAAAAATATTTATGAATCAGCAGAAGGGAAAAGCCAGAACTGTAGCTGAGTTTCATAATCGGACATCATGGCAGAATACAAAATACCATCTGTATCACCTCGACATCCGTTGTTCCACAACTGAGCGTTTTTTGAGGTAGTTTTTTACACTATGTGGTACCAGCAGCCCACTGAAGTATTTCCGAAACAATTATTTCGTGTTTCACACTCGTATTTAATAATTTATAAAATGTAAATGATTGCTATAATTATCTTTTATACAATATAATACTTAAAAATTATAATTATTTTGAACTATTCTGTTATTAATGAATGCATTATTAATAATTTTACAACGTATGTTTGAAAGATGGTTACCCTACACAAAGCATATTTGAAAACCGATTCTTTGATATAAATTGATAACACTACCTTAAATCAAGATACAGTTGCCTTTTCAAGTGTGTGAGATGATTGTCTATATTTATTGTTGGCAATCCTCTTAGCAAGTATTCAATATTTGATTTGTCACAAGTTTAGTGTATATAAGAAAATGTTTATGGGCATAAGGTAATCTTTGATTGGGTTAAATCAACCTTGGGCGATTCTACTAGCATTTTATTGCAGTTTAATATTTAGGGTCTGTTTCACAATGTACGGATAAGTTCTACATAAGTTCCAAATTAGCTATTTATTACTTATTGGTAGGATAAACAATATAGTTGCGTTTCACGATTGTCAGATAGCGCTATTAGTCACATAAAATCCATCATAAGCTATGAGTTCGATGTCGAATGTCAAATAGCACAATTTATTTTCCAAATAATTTATGTGTTGCATAGCTATTTGGTACTTTATGCATACATTGTGAAACAGATCCTTAGTCTTGATTTTATCATATAACATTTTATTCTAAAGGTGTCCTTTTAGCCAATCTCCGTCTGGTCTACTTGAAAGAGCTGGGCATATTTTCTCTGCTTTGTATTATCAACTGTTTTGTAGTAACATTTTTGAAGTAAATGAATTGCTAATTATTATTTATTTTTAATGTTGCGTTTGCCTATTTATATTTAACATTGAAAATTGTAAGTTTTATTATTTTCTACGATTATAATAATCTTTTATAATTCTAATATTATTGACGTGTATGTTTGTACTCTCATATGTATGTATTTATATTTTTAGCATGCATGTTGTCTTTGGAACTTAATTAAGTGAAAATTGTAAATAACACAAATCCAATATTAATTGGTGTTTTATTATATATTAGCTGGCCCGGCGAACTTCATACCGCAACAGTCGAAAAACATCGTGTCACAGATTCTTCTTTCTTTTAGTGCCTCTCGTTTACTGGAGGTTGGCCGTCAGTATCTTGAAGCGTGTCTTGTCCTGTGCCAGATGCAGCAACTCTTCCGCAGATGCAATACCTGTCCATTTTCTAACGTTGCGAAGCCATGATTTCTTCCTTCTACCAACACGCCGTTTACCCTGGATTTTACCCATTATAATTAATTGAAGGAGGTGGTAGCGGTCATGGCGCAACACGTGGCCCAACAACTTTCCGTTGTTTAATGTTCTGCAAAAGTTTTTTTTTATTTTTAATTTTATTCAAGTATTTCAATGAATATAAAAAAATTAGTTCACTTCTATCACCGAATTGCAATACTCAACGTTACAATGTGCCTTGATTTGTTTAAGTAGCTTGATATAATTTCCTTATTCTACACAAAATAAATTACTCATCGCACACATAAATATTTGACAACCAATATTTATGTGAATGAATCCTATTCCATACATACCCGGCGTCTCTCCTTTATGGTATAATATATACTTTCCATGGTCTTCTATATGTTCTCCAAATCTTCTCATTTCGCTGATCCCTATAATATCCCATTTTATTTCTTGTATAGCTAGTTCAAGTTCTTCAAGTTTTTCGGGTGTTCTAAGAGATCGACAGTTGATGGTTGCTATTTGAATATCATTCGTTTTCTTTTTAGTGTGAGTATTGACGTTGACGTTATTTTTAACCTTTAGAGGGTCGTGGCCATTTTCCCCCACGATGACCAGTCGGCTTGTACAATAGGTGTCAAAAGAAAAGACCGAGAAAAATTAATAGACATCAAAAGTAAAACCAACTTTAAGAATGCATACACAACATACAAACAGCTGAAGTGGAGGTGGACACTGGACAGGGCATATGATGAGAGAAAAGCAAGAAAAATGGACAAAACTTATCACAGAATGGTACCCTTTAGACGGAAAGAGACATAGAGGAAGACAGGCTAAGAGATGGGAGGATGACGTTAAGAAAATAGCGGTTTCAACATGGACTCGCACTGCAAAAATGAGAAAAGACTGGAGAGCTTTAGAGGAGGCCTTTGTCGAAAGACAAGTTGTAACCGAACTACCGTTTGCCGATAATTAATCAATAGATAGTAAAATTGTTAGTATATTAGTTAAACTCTAGTTAATAGTCAAAATGTGTTTCTTTAGTCAAAAGTAACTACTCTGTGTAAAACTTGTTAACAACAATAAAGGCTTATTTATTTATTATTTATGTAAATCCTTTTTCATTACAGATATTATTCTAAATTTTTTAAATATAAAGTACGGCATAATCCAAATATTCTCGATATATATATATTATTGTCGATTTGAAACCTTTATTTAAATACGTATTATATTTTGAGGGAAGAATTTACCGCATCGACGGAATGAACATTAAATGATTGACTGTTACGAAACCCATGAACATTTTTATTAGACTTTTTTCTGTTATTTTATTCTTTCGTAAATTTTCCAATGTATTCGGAACAGCCTTTCTGATTCTGTAACTCACTTTCCGAACTCACGAGGTGGGAGCTTGTAGTTTATTCATTATCAGAATGCCAAATCATAAAATGACTGCTTCACGACTGATTTGAGAGCGACCGCCGATGCGATAACCGCTGTGAGAGTTCGAAAAGTGAGTTACAGAATCGCAAGGCAGGTATTCGGGACAAATACGACAAATCAAAAACCATGAAAATCGGTCCAGCCGTTTTCTAATTATATAAGTATTCGAACAACCCGACTTTGTTGAAAGATTATAATACTCGTGCCAATGAATAATAAATCTTTAATAAAATAAACATAGTAAAATTACGGTGAATGACATGATTCATGCAAATGACATTAGATAAAAATGTCATATGCGCCAGCATTGTTTAATTTGCATGTTTATGTAACATTGTTGTATCCGTATCTCTGATGGATTAAAGGATTTTTGATAATAAAGAGAACAATTACCCCATAAATAGAACGTCTGTGATGTACCAATGTTTGTTCGTAGATACAATGAATGTTCTTATTTTAAGACGTAGATCTTTGAGCATTTTTCCCATGGATAAATATATCTCCAAGTCTGCGTCTAACAAGCGAATCTAGTGTAATATTTGGCTTCAACGTTGACTAGTTTTCTGTGTTTCTAAGTCAATATTGTGTCTTTCTTCTTTGTTTTCAAATGTATGTTATGTGATAGTAAAATAAATATGCAAATTTATAATGAATGTGATGAGTTTAAATGCGCACGCTTATCTCAGAAAACTGGTTTGTAATATGGCAAAACTAATTTGTACAAAAAAAGGTCTCATTAAACTTCTAAATATATATGTTTATAGTTTTGCGTCACAAATAACCATAAATAATGTCAATACGAGTCAACCAACGGTAGTAATCGTAACTAAATTTTCTTTCAAGATACATAAAAAACCTTTTATCTTAAATGTCCTTGTTACTTACGTCAAACAATAAAATACAAAAAATATAGTATTTGAAAATAAATATATACACACGATTAGCTGATTCTTATGTAAATTCAATTATAAATATTATATTATATTGCATACATACCACTTAGAGGTTCTGGTGCAGGGTCGAGTCCTGGTGCCATATTTTGGGTTGGTATACGCTTACTAGCTCTATTATCAAAAAGATACATATGTATCTCAATTCAGATCGAATACTCAATAATTAAACATCCAAAATGTTCTTATCCTTTATTATGTCACATTTTGAAAATTTCACAATAGTATACATAACAGAATAACATTCGATGTGTTACATTTATATACAATTCAATAGAATTAATAGTATATAACTATAATTAAATCCTTAAAAGTAGATACACTGTTTTCAAAAAAACGGCTACATTAAGAATACAAATCAGTCGTTAATTTAAATAATACCTATATATAAGCAAGCAATATTTTCTTGTGGATCTTTCGAATACAACGCGAGAAATCAACGGGAACAAATCCTCGATTACGCGAGGTGGTTCTTAGAATCCTACCATTACTTGAGGAGGCTTCTGCCAATACCAAGGCCTTATTGGTTTCACATAATTGGATCTTTGTAGTAGAGAAAATCAATATTCATATCCGGATCGAAACCGCAATCAAAATTACGTTAGGAGACTGCCGAAATAATAAAAAATATCTTTTTTAGGTCCCATCTTTATACACATAAAATCGCTGCAGCGTTTTTAACGTCAAAACACATTCTTACATATTACAAAATTTTACGTATATCACTAAATCTAATATATACAAACCAGTATTTTCGGTGCGAATACAAAACAGGTACAACCTTACCATCAGGTTAATGTATGACAACAAGGATGCTGTGTTAGAAGCTCGTTAGAGAATTTCCTTAATGGTACAGTTTATGTACTGATAGAAAGAGTAAATTACCGAATTAAATCTAAAACTTCACAATTAACTGATAACAATTTGGTCCAGCTCTACAACACCGCAGTCAAGACATTTATTCATAAAGCGGTTGACTGGAACCCGTCGCCTTTGACTGACCTGTTCTTGGCCAGGTTATCCGATAAAGGAATTGACTCTCCTCTGTTCCGGTTTCTATAACCTGTAAAAATAATATTTATTCTCTTGTGCTATACGCCATAGATGCACTTGAGTTATACATGTCCTAGTTTAGTTTAGTTTTATAAGAAAAGCATTCGTAGAAATATCTACCCAAGAGACGTCCTCAATCAAAATTTAATTGATTTATCATTCTCTGTCCCAGGACTTAACAAACAATGGGATTGTTATTTAAGGACAGAAAAGCTCAGCCAACATCCTTTGGGGACTCTTACGTACACAATGAATAAGGCATTTATTGAAAATTAAGCTCGTTGTAGTCAAAGGGAAAAATTATGGAAAATACCAAATAATTATCTACCCAAATTTAAAAATTGGAATGCTGAGAGTAAAATTATGACATTATTAACTTATAATCATAAGGGTAGACTGTGAATGATATACGCTGTGAAGATAAAACATTATTATAATTTTCAATATTATTTTTTCAATCATTGAAGAAATTGAAATGAAGCACAGAGAAGAGGATACCTTGAAAAAATGGAACAGTGTCAAAATGTTTATTTGTAAAATGTATATCCAGATGGAAATATCAAAATATATTTAATCAATTAACGCTTCGTAAGTAATGTTATTTAATTATAGTATATATCATTAAATGAATGTCATCCAAAGATCGGAATATCAGTGTAATTGTTTTCTTTCTTTTCATCAAGTTTTACAAAGCGAACTACATAGTGTGGACTTAGTAATTGCTAACTTATCTCCCCTTCAGAAAAGGGTCGAACTTTCTTCCGTCGAAAAGTTTGTCCTTATATGGCAGTATAGTTCTATCACGGATTTGGAGAAATAATATTTTACTTTTACTTTCATTGTTATTTGTATGTTACCTTGGTCATTGAACATATACCGATCAATCTTTCTCTTTAGTCAGACGTTTAAAGTCGATATCACAAAAGTTTTTTAAATTATTATATTAAACAAAGTTTTTAATAATATGTATGTTTCTGTCAAGTTGAATTTAAAACTGTAATAGTTTTCATAACAGGTAGCTAATTTATTTAATGAATAAGAGAGAAATTCGGAAATGAACTTTAAATATCAGCCAATAGTAATGAATATAATAATGATTAATGAAAGTGAAATAATAATGACGAACCTGAGTGATGGGCCGCGTGACGGAAGCGGCCGGCAATGCGGGATGTGCGTTTCCTACTGTGGTGCCTTGTGAGCCGCTGCTAAACACAATCCTCACCTTCTTGTCCATCCAGGTCTAGAAAGGAGAATGTTGTCTTTAAATAATGTTTGAGAAGGCGATTCGTGAATAATATGTAACACTTAACCATGCCCTACTGCTTTATTTTACGAGCAAAACGAATACTTTTTTAGACTAAAGACTTCTCCTGCTGTTGACAATCAAAACATAACTCGCCATCTTTCCATTTGCATGTCGACATGTCCCTTACACTGTATCTTGTAATAGAAAACCGACCCCGACATTTTGTATGCAAATTCGATGTAGTTCTGTTAATATTACTAGCGCTGATGTGAGTCTGATCGCGCGGAAGAAAAACTCGTTATTGGAATCCCGATCGATGTTGGTATCGCTATTGGAAGTATCAGAGTAAGGCCGTTTCTCCACTGCTCCGGTCCGGCAAACGTTAGTTACCGATCCGATTAAGAAGCTCACAACAGTACTTACGTACTTCTCCACTACTCCGGCATCCAGTTTTTAACGGTCCGATAACTTGCTAGATCGGAACGCGGTGTTTTATCGGTCCAAGTATACAAGAGGTTATAAATTATTATTCACAGGTTTATTTATAGTTTGTTTAATTTGAAAGAATCTGGATAACCTGGACGAAACCAAATTATGTTGCTATTTATTTATATTTTTATACCATAGTATTAGTGAACTTTTTATTAAGTAGATTATAATATTTTAAGATAGACAATATAAAAAAAGTAATAAACTTGCCAGGGCAATAAAATATTCAGAATTTAGAACGATTAATAAAACAAAGTATATGGGTTTTAGTTAATATAGGTGTTGCATGATAAATATACAAGTATCGATTATTGTCGGATCGGATTTAGTGGAGAAGCGTAATCCGGCCTTCCGATATTTTTCTCATGACTCATTCCGGTATCCGACGCCGGACCGGAGCAGTGGAGAAAGGACCTAAGGGTGCAGCTCTTCTAACAGGAAATCTTTTGTGGCTCGTCTAAAAGTTTCCGTAAATCTTGTTAAATTGCCCTAGATTCCAGTTAAAAGAGACATTGATAAAGATAGGTTGTACAAAATAATAGTGGTTTGTTAAACAGTAACCCTCCTGGGTGGCCTAATTTATATTTAATCCTGTTTACTTCGAACAGGTAAGCTTACAGTTCCCTAAAGAAATAAATTTTATACATTATTGTAATTTATAAAAGCTTAGAAGCTAACTCTCAAATCAAAACGTGTTTAATCAATTTTAAAATTATTAACGATTTTTTAACACGTGTTTTACAATTATTTTTAGCGTTGAACAAATATTCTTTAATAGGTGAAAGGATAAGAAATAAACTTAACTTTGTGTATCAGGGCGTTCAAGAATTAATTAAAAATGCGAAACACTGAATAACAGAGGCTTTTATATGATTTACATAGAAATATAATTTATAGATATTTATTTACTGCTTACTGGCAGTCATGAGTAGCAGAGTTATTTTACATAAACTGAGAAAGAGTTCTTCACAACTAATGAAGTCATATATAAGTTCATTAACCTCATAATATTTGTTTATGTAGTAGGAGGCAAACGGGCAGGAGACTCGCCTGATGTTAAGTGGTACCGCCACCCATGGACACATGGCCAGTAGGCTCGCAAGTGCGTTGCCAGCCTTTAAATTTATTCCAATTAGATAACACAGATCCATTTCAGTAAGTACAAATCATCACTTTTCTCACAGAGCCGACAAGCGTACGCAGAAACTGCCTAACAATTTGTATTGAATTGCGAGTGAGTAGTCATCTCTACTGAGGATACTGTTCTTACTGCCTTGCAATTATTAGCATTCAATATATAATAATAATGCATGGTATATTTGTAACAAACCTGTGCGACCCGTGTGACTGCCTCTTATAACACAAGCAGTAACGTCTTGGCTTGAAGGTGGAGGAGTCGCTTGTTTCTCCGTCGTTTTGTCAGGAAAGCACCACCTGGGAAAAGGGAGAGCGAGAATTTTGAGAAGTCCTTGGGCATGAGGCGGACTCAGTTTTTTTTTTATATAAAAGTCAACACTGTATCTTATAACTTTCCATATGTGGTTGGATTTCTTCCAAAATCAAAATTCTAAAGGATTAATTTAACATAAAATTGGACTTCACTGCCGAGTTTCATTCACGAGAGACGTCAGATGGCATTATCAGAAAACCTTTTTGGTATTGTTTATCAGAATGCCAAATCACAAATAATTTCTTCACGAGTGATTTTAGAGCGGAATCAGTGTGTGTTTTTGAAAAACAACTATCAGAATCGCATCTTATATATTTATATATTCACTATTTATCTGTTAGGGTACGTCTGTAGGGCTTAGGGATCCGTAGGGTTGTTAGGTTCTTACGTCTCACCCTCTAAAGGTCGATTTACATCAAACGAACATAGAGCTAGAGCTAAAACAAGAGCATTCTTTCGTAATCTTTTAGTGTAAACGAAAGCTAGAGGTATCGATTTACATCAAACGAACATAGAGCTAGAGCTAGAACACAAGAACGCTTTGAAAAGACCGCTCAGTGGCGCGAGCACGTCCGAACACGCTAGAACGCTCTAAGCAACTGTTCGCGCGCTCTTGCGCCGTTTACATCAAGCGAACGAGCATTCTTAGAATATTCTATAGAATCTTTGCGAACGCACTAAGAACAACGAAAGAATGCTCTACGCCTGTTTACACTAGAAGAATTTGATGTAGTGGGGATAGAATGAGCATTCGCTCGTTTGATGTAAATCGACCTTTATATATTTAGTCATCTAGTGCAGCTTGCTCATACATACATTACATATATGTACTATTCAGAGAGATACTCCTGACATTGAATACATATAAATTTTAAACACACTTTTCACAGTCCACTAACTAGCAAGCTGTACAATGTTAATGGATCTTACTAATAAATACTAGGAATTTCGTAATTAATTTGGTATCACTAAGTGCTCAGTATTGAATTTTTTAATTAAATAATGCTCAAGTTGCCTTATTTCATCTTATGTAAAACCACGAAAATTAAAGTTTTCTATTACTTCCTTACCGAAATTTTATTTGAAAGTAAAATGTTTAGTACTATTATGCGCTTTATATTCAAAGTTAATATATTAAGAAGGTGTTCGTAAAAAGATCCCGCGTCTTGCTCCTTTTTTTAGCAACGAATTATTTTAAGATATTATAATCTATAATAATTATAATATTTTAATAGAACACGGGGCTGCCCTGATGTTAAGTGATACTGCCGCCCATAGACGCATACACTGCTAGTGCGTTGCCGTTCTTTTAAGAATTGGTACACTCTTTTCTTAAGGGACTCTTTTATTACTACGCTGTAGAGTTTGTTTGTATTTCATCCTTTTTTAATTAAGAATATGTTGTTGTAATAGTTAATAACGAGAAAGCCTCTAGGCTAACCATTACGCCATTACCAAATTAACATCAATGAAATCGCCCTCGTCTGTAAAAAATACATTTATAAAATGCAACATCACACATTCATCCACATACTAGGTTACCTGAATATCTTACAAGTCCTAAAAAGACTGATGAAAGCCTGCCTGAACTTTCGATTCATAAAGCAGTAAGTAATGGGATTGCAGAAAGATGAGCAGTAGGCCAGCAGTTGCAGACTAACGATGCCTTTCGACCCAATATATTGATACAATTCTTCAGGATAGAAGAGGTAAATCTGCGGACAAAATATATCATATAAGGGTGCGTCCACATCTGGCGAATGTGCAGCTCGCGAACCGTTTGCGACCTGCGCGCGTGCAGTCACGGCAACGGTTTGGTGCGCCTCTTTAGCACAGCTCATGCAAGGCTCGTAAAAGGCTCGCGCGGTTCAGTTCTCGCGCTTCCAGTTCCGTTTACTGGCGTGGGCGGAAGGAAGACGCGAGCCGCTAGCGCGCCGCCCGCGCGCTGATCGCGTACGGCCGCGGGCGGCGCAGGAGCAGCATATTCGCCAGAAGTGGACGCACCCGAACACTTGCATGCGTTATTGGGGTCGAATCGATGACTGAAATAATTTAGACAGGAGATATTTGAAATTTATTTTGAAGTTTAAGTGTTAGTGCTAGAACTGTATTCATATAAGAAAACGCAACGTAGCATTCCAGCCGCGCAGCGTAGTGGTGCTACATGAACTAGGCTGGCCCTACTAAGATTTTCCTAGTGGGAGTGCCATGCTGTTGCCTTCGGGCTTCAGCCAAATGGGCAGGCACGACCGGGGCAGTACCACTGTCTCTCAGAAAACCGGCGTGAAGTGATGCAATAAGTTCGCCTTATTGTACTCGCGTTTCGTGCGGTGAGAGAGACTCCCGGAGCCCATTAACCACAAGAAATATGAAGGTGCAGAAAAAAAAACAGAATCTACCCCAGGGGGGTACCACACGCGCTCGCGGTGGAGAATCCCCCTCTGGGCGTCGTTAGGGGGCTCAATTCCAACATCAACGCTGTCCACTACCACTTAGAGACTGCGAAGCCGGCCTTGCTCTTTCTTACCGAGACTCAGATATCCCCCCCCGGCTGATACTTCCTACCTCTCCTACCCGGGGTACAAATTGGAACATTCATTTGTGCCGCGGGCGGGAGTTTGCGTGTACGTCAGAGAGGATATCTGTTCTCGTCGCCTCGGGACGCTTGAAGGAAGGGACCTATCTAACCTCTGGCTGCGCGTAGACTGCGATGACCATCCGCGATTCTACGCATGCCTGTATAGGTCCCATAGCGGAAATACCGAAACTGACCGACTCATTGAGCACATCCAAATGGCTACAGATTCCCTGCTCGAAAGGGTTCCTACCGCTGAAATCGTGATACTTGGCGATTTTAACGCCCACCATGCCGATTGGCTCGGCTCAGAAACCACCGATCATGCGGGAAGATCCTTTCACGACTTTGCTTTGGCTTACGACTTGACGCAAATGGTCCCTGCGATTACGCGAATACCAGATGTGGATGGTCATAAACCCTCTTTGTTGGACCTTCTGCTGACTTCACATCCGGAGAACTACCAAGTCTCTGTTGAACCGCCATTGGGTTCATCAGGCGTGGTCATCATTGTGTGGTCCGGAGCATTGTGCCGTTCACGCGCCCTCTTCGGCCTAGCTTCACGGGCTGTCGCCGCGTGTGGCACTATAAGTCAGCAGATTGGGATGGGATGCGGTCTTTTTGCGTCCTACCCTTGGGGGCCCATTTGCTTTTCGTCGAGTACTCCAGATGCCGTCGCTGACTCTGTCGCCGAGGTGGTCCTGCAGGGTATGGAACTCTTTATTCCATTCTCTGCGGTGCCGGTCGGTGGCAAGTCCCAGCCTTGGTTTAGGCGTTCTTGCAAAGCGGCTTTGCGCCGTAAGCGTGAAAGCTTTAAAGCCTGGGCAGAAGCGGTGACATCCTGTGATGTGACTATCGGCGAACATAAAAAAGCATACAATTCAGCCTCCAGGTCCTTCAAGCGAGAAATCGCTAAAGCAAAGTCAGAGCACATTGCCAGATTTGGTGAGAAATTGGCCCGCCTCCCTTCGGGAACTCGAGCCTTCTGGTCTCTTGCCAAAGCTGTCCAAGGGAATTTCTGTCTGCCCTCAATTCCACCACTGCATAGGGAGGATGACTCACTGGCCCATACCCCGAAAGAGAAGGGCGATCTTCTAGGCTGTCTCTTTGCGTCGAACTCCACTTTGGATGATCAAGGGAAGGAACCACCGACATTATTGCGGTGTGATACTACGATGCCCGAAGTTATATTCCGGCAACGTGCTATCCGTAAAGCTTTGTCTTCCTTGGTCATCCATAAGTCGAGCGGGCCCGATGGCATCCCTCCAATTGTGCTGCGTACTTGTGCTCCTGAGTTGGCTCCGGTCCTAACGCGCCTTTTCCGGTACCTTTACACGCTCGGCACTGTTCCGAAGTGCTGGAAGATCGCTTCGATACATCCGATCCCTAAAAAGGCGATCGCTCTGATCCGTCCAACTATCGCCCAATAGCTATAACCTCCTTGTTCTCCAAAATAATGGAAACCATTATTAACAGCCAGCTCCTGAGGTATCTAGAGGGCCACCAGCTGATTAGCGATTCTCAGTACGGCTTTCGTCGTGGTCGCTCAGCTGGTGACCTCCTTGTATACCTTACACATAGGTGGGCAGAGGCAATTGAGTCCAAGGGGAGGCGCTGGCGGTAAGTTTGGACATAGCGAAAGCCTTCGATCGGGTGTGGCACAGAGCACTGCTCTCGAAGCTTCCAGCCTACGGGCTCCCTGAGAAATTATGCAACTGGATTTCCAGCTTTCTCGCTGATCGGAGCATCAAAGTCGTCATCGACGGAGCATGCTCCGACCTGAAACCTGTGAGTGCTGGTGTCCCACAAGGCTGTGTCCTATCCCCGACCCTGTTTATTCTGCATATCAATGATATGTTGCAGCTTAGCAACATTCATTGCTATGCGGACGACAGCACTGGGGACACTTTTTACACTGGCCGGGCAGGTATTTCTCGGGCTGTTGTCGATGAGTACCGGAACAAACTTGTGTCTGAAGTCGAAACTTTTCTACGTGGAGTCTCGGACTGGGGTAGACTAAATCTAGTCCAATTTAACCCCAAGAAGACACAAGTATGCGCGTTTTCCGCTAAAAAAACTCCCTTTGTCGCTACTCCCCTCTTTGAAGACACTCTCCTTAAAGCCTCAGCTAGCATCGGAATACTGGGCGTTGACATATCGAATAACGTTCAGTTTCGCGGTCATCTGGAAGGAAAGGCTAAATTAGCCTCCAAAAAGCTTGGTGTGCTCAGCAAGGCGAGACGTTACTTCACTCCGGGCCACCGCTTGCAACTAAATAAAGCGCAAATTCGGCCCCATATGGAGTACTGCTCTCACCTCTGGGCGGGAGCTCCCCAGTACCAGCTCCTTCCACTTGACCGTATTCAACGAAGAGCGGTTCGAATCGTCGACGACCAGCCACTTTCCGTGCGGCTTGATCCCTTGGCGCTGCGTAGAGATGTGGGATCTCTCTGCATCTTCTACCGCATTTACCATGGAGAGTGTTCAGAGGAGTTGTTCGGTCTAATACCTGCAGCTGAGTTTCATCATCGGACGTCAAGGCAAAATACAAAATACCATCCGTATCACCTCGACGTCCGTCGTTCCACAACAGAGCGTTTTCTAAGGCAGTTTTTCCCGCTCACCACCACTATGTGGAACCAGCTGCCCACAGAAGTATTTCCGAACCAATTCGACTTAGGGTCCTTCAAGAAAAGAGCGTACCAATTCTTGAAAGGCCGGCAACGCACTTGCGAGCCTTCTGGCATTGTGAGTGTCCATGGACGGCGGTATCACTTAACATCAGGTGAGCCTCCTGCCCGTTTGCCTCCTATCACATAAAAAAAAAAAACTAAGACCCAAGAGAATATGTACAAATCCATTGTCGACTGGCAGAAGCTAGACTAGGCCCTCGAGCCCGCCGAAACCTCTGATCGCTCCAACATCCCCAACAATCTAGTCTCGTTTGACTACGCTCCTCGGTCATGAATCACATTCAGACCAAGATTGCCGAATGGTTCTGGAAGGCTCAGGCACCGGTTAAAAATCTTTGAAACAATTTCTTATTTAAAACGAAAATGATTTAGTTTTATTCGCTCCAAAACTGCCAATGCCTGTGAAATACAGCTCTCTACTTCAGCTTGACTTTCACATCCCAGTGAAATTTTGCGCCCAAGATATATATAGTGGTCTACGATATCTACCGGTAGTTGTTGTTGTCTGGTTCTTTCGATGTTTGTCGTCGTCTTCCCTGGCGCTTGCCCATTTTTGAGTTGGCTAGCTGTACGCCAACTCAAAAATCGGATTCCTGCGTGGGATTTCTGCGACCATTCCTCGGAGGTCCTCCGAGGCTACACTCATAATAAGTGGAGGTTTGCGTCGGTCAGCAAGCCAGCCATCTGAAGTGCGGTTTGGGTTTTTGCGTTGATAGAGGTTTTGGTAGTAGCGATTGACGGTTTTCAGTAGGTCTAAAGTCTAGACTATTGACCACGGTTTTGTTTTCCTCATCAAACAGTTACCAAATTTAGCCTTCCTGTATTAAGTCGCAGTTTAGAGACTTTTGGCTAAAATTTTATTCTATAGATTTCTCAATAATCTCGCTATCATCTAAGGTCTTCGCTGATACTATTACGCACAAATCAAAGACTTAAGGAAATGCGTCAAACTGATTACAGTTTAATTATGGAATATCGTATCAAATATACCATAACAGTCAACGAAACGTTCAAAATCTTCAATTAATTATATAATTGTTTATTCACCTTAAATAAGTACTTACGGTATTTATGACGTGGAGTGGCGTCCAACAGACAAAAAACTCAAGGATTATTACAAACAGCATTCGTATAACCTGTAAACAAAGAAAACGGTAAGGGCTATCCACAGTCAAAGACTTGGAGTAAAGTATGACTCCCGTTTCCACAAACTTTTACATTGTACGTACAGAAGCCTAAGACCATTATGGTCACTATTCATCATTTACTTAAAATCATAATTTATACAATGATTATAAGCAAAACTCATACCTGCGTAATAATAATCGGTATGTATATCGCTATAAGATGTTTATCAATACTTGGACCTTGTTTAGAACTCACCTTACGTTTTGCCTCTATACTCTTGTCTATATGTGTCGATCGCACGACGTGTCTAAACTCAAGGTCAGTTTGCAGACAACACACTGCTTTTTTCTCAACATCAAGACGTTCTTCATTCTCCTACAAAAGCGTTTTGTATTAAATGACATTTACAACGAGGGTTCAAAAATTTGATAGAAAATGGGGTTCACACAATTTGGCAATCATGACCTCAGAGTCTACACAGTTGACAACTTTATGGTCTCAGAGTGTGGTCACAGGCCCGAATATGAATCGATACAATCTTTGGTATTAGAAATACTACATCATGAGAAATCATAGAATTTTTTTATTACTATATATTCGAATAGTTTTATGCAATTAAACCATGTAGATGGAATATTGAGAACTAAACATAAGCCAAAGGTTAATGACCTCTTCCTTTAATTATTTTTCTACTAGAATATACCATAGCTCTGGGAGTCGCAGTGAACTAGAATTTGATTATTTAGAATCGAATAACGGTCCATTGACTTTCATAGTAAAGAGTACCTGTGTGATCAATTAAGCTTTATCATCAGTGACTTTTCCATGAGTTTTCTCGCTACGCTTTTAAGAAGTACGCTTAGCGTTCAAATAAGTCTTATATATATATATATATATATATATATATATATATATATATTTATATGAAATATATTGCGCCAGTCATTACGCCCCAAACAAAGATTTCTCATAAGAATTTTTGACATTTGGAATATTACTTGAGCCTTTGAAAATTTGTTAAAGTCATGGTTTAAAAATATAATCTGTGGTCAGTAACGTCATAGGTAAAAATTATTTATTATAACTCGAGTTCTATATTCAAATTTAAAATACTAGTTCTAATTGGTGAGTTATACACAGTATGACAGTATAGGATTTTGAAATTCGAAATATACAAGTATTAAATATGAACCTTGTTCTTACGACAACAACAATTTATTCACAAATGTATAATTACTTTTCTTTCAGACAAAATAACACTTATTGTTCAGAAGTTCCCGATTGCAGAACGTATAATTAAAATTTGGACATAGGTGTTTTTTTTTTAAATTATCATTAATTATTTAACTTTAAATGTTAATATTGTTCACAACACTATTGTATTAGGCCCTTACATATGAAATTAGCGTATTTCGTACTGGCCACTTTAGTCACGATGTTCTCCTGTTTGGTAAGGAATTCCAAATTCAAATTTGTACAGCTATTTACTCATGTATTTTTGCTTCGATGACCGTCATTCATTGTTTTTTTCTGTTTGCGTCACTCATTTTACAAAATGGAAAATTTTAAAGTAAAGCATTATTTACGAGTACGAGTTCCGCCGTGGCACTAGTGCTGCGGAATCAACTCGAAGGGTGAATGATGTGTATGGCGGTCATGTTGCAAAAGAAACCACAGTTCGTTTTTGGTTCCAACGTTTTCGTTCTGGAAATTTCGACCTGCAGAACAAGCCCCGTGGACGGCCTGAGACCCAAGTTGATAATGAAGTATTGAAGGCTATTGTGGAAGCGGACCCATCGCAAACCACGTCCGAGTTAGCTGCAGGCTGTGGTGTTAGTGATAAAACCGTTTTAATTCACTTGAAGCAAATTGGAAAGATTAAAAAGCTTGAAAGATGGGTACCTCACGAATTGACTGAAGCAAACCGGCAAACGCGCGTCGACTGCTGCGTTACATTACTGAACCGGCACAATAATGAAGGTATTTTAAACCGAATCATTACCTGTGATGAAAAATGGATTCTTTACGATAATCGGAAGCGCTCAGCGCAATGGTTGAATCCTGACCAGCCAGCCAAATCCTGCCCCAAGCGAAAATTAACCCCAAAAAAGTTACTTGTAAGCGTTTGGTGGACTAGTGCCGGTTCATTGCAGTTTTCTCAAATCTGGCCAGACTATTACGGCTGATGTCTATTGTCAGCAATGGCAAACCATGATGGAAAAGCTAGCGGCTTAACAACCTAGGCTGGTCAATCGCTCCACGCCACCGCTACTTCACAACAACGCTAGACCACACACTGCATAACAGACGGCTACCAAATTAGAAGAGCTTCAATTGGAATGTCTTAAACATCCTCCGTACTCTCCGGACCTTGCTCCAACAGATTACCATTTTTTTCGAAATTTGGACAACTTCATGCAAGGGAAAAAATTTAACTCTGATGGGGCAGTCCAAATCGCCTTCACAGATTTTATTGATTCCCGTCCGACTGGTTTTTTTAGTAAAGGGATCAATGAACTACCTATATGTACCATGAAAACATCTCGGAAAACGATATTAGTCCCAAAATCTTACATGTACCAGACTATGAATATCAATAAATGTTGCTAACGCTGGGTTGCTAAGCTAACAGATGGGTTGATAAAATTTGTCTTTTATTTTCTTTTATATTAACAAAATACATTATTTTGCTTGCCTTTCAATAAGAAATATAACGCTACGATAACATTTTTGTGTTTAAATCTCGAGAATATAGTTATCAGATGGCACTTTCCAAGATTTAACATCATTAATACATGAAAACCCAATGTTATATTCGTGATGAATTTATCAAACTATTGACCCGTCACCCAACCCAAGAAGTCTAAACGCGAAGATGTTATTGTTTCCCAACAATATACTGCGCACGACCCTACTTTTAATCGCTAGGTTTTAGTTACACGATGGTCTTAATCGACATTTAAATCTCTATATATATATAAAATTCTCGTGTCACAATGTTCGTTCCAGTATGTATGAGAATCGGCTACTATCTATATTTCAAACCCCTAAGTGATAAGGGGTGTCCACCCCAAAAAAAATTTTTATATATTTTTTTGTTTTTATTTTTTTATGATACAGCATACAAAAATACATACAACCCCTAATTTTCACCCTTCTACGACTAACCCCTATTTTTTATTATTATAGATAGTTATTTGTACTGAACTAAAACAATGTTTCTTAGAAATAATATACATGGCAAAACAACGTCTGTCGGGTCAGCTAGTTTTACTATATATGTGTATAATACCCAAGTTTCATTGGTAGGTATTTAAAGCCTCCCTTTTCTTTTCTACGTAATATTTTGTAAGCAAATTTTTTGTATAAATATAATTATTTTAAGCAGTGTTGCTCTCAGCGTGCCACTATCACCATTCGGTCGTAGGTTCGATCCCCGTCTGTGCACCAATGGACTTTCTTTCTATGTGCGCATATTTAACATTTGGTCGAACGGTGAAGGAAAGCATCGTGAGGAAACCGGCTTACCTTAGACCCAAGAAGTCAACGGCGTGTGTCAGGCACAGGAGGCTCACCACCTACTTGCCAATTAGATTGACAAATGATTATGAAACAGATACAGAAATCCGAGTCCCAGACATAAAAAGGTTGTAGCGCCACTGATTTATTTTATAATTATTTTACCTTAATTTTTTTGACGTTACAGCCATTTTTGCAACACAGTGTTGTTGCATTGCCGTTCAAAATTGGCGTCGATGATGGTAGGTGATCGTCTCTATGCACTAAAACAAAATATATCAATATTAAATAGGTTAGATAGTCATTGGTGATGATGTACATTTACTCTGTTGAGTACTATATGCAAACAAATATCAAACCTAAACAACCTAGAAAAAACGAAAAACAAAATTTGAAAAGACCTGAATTGAATTTTTACTTCAATCCGACGTAATTTTTTTATAACAAAAAACTGTACCGTTGACTTTTGCAATTCTTGTATTTCATATTCTTTTGTATTGCATCGCACTTTATGAATCCGTAAGATTAGCTTTTTAGTTTACTTTATTAATTTTATTTTAGATTAAGGTTGGTGATTCTATATTTTTTTTATAAGATTTGGTTATGCAAGAGTTAGGTAAGAATAGTTATAATATTGGGAAGGTATACATGACATCAGCCAGCTTTATTTATCGGCAATAGAAAATAGTTATAGCAAAGCAATATATGCACAATATTTTGCGTAGTTTAGAATACTTCGAGAATGTTCTATTAGTACATTCTAGTACTTTTGTACCCCCAACTTAATTTGTTGAATTGTAACGCTTCAACGAAAGTAGTATGTTTTTTTCATCAAATTGTATTTACCATGAAATAAAAAGGGGCAGAACCGTGCTTTTGTTTAAGATTGTAGTTTTATAAAAAAGTATGCCACAACAAAATTTTTAAGTATCAGTACTTTTAATATTACTTACAATATTTTTGCCAATTGTAGTTATGCTGTATCTCGTGCTGTAGTCCTCGCCATAACTTGGTTACGATGAGGGAGTAGGCAACTGACATTACGAAGAATGGGATGAGAAGCAGTGCCCCATCCAACCCCAGGTTGAATGCTCTCTCTAGTTCCAAACTTGCCCAGACTTCACGACATTTGTAGGCTACAAAACAGATTTTACGAAGAGTTTTTAGGGATACTATAAAAAATATAAAATATCTTTTTGTACTATCACCGTGTTACCGAATAAAAATCATAACAAATACCAAACCGTATCTAAAAAGTTATTCAGTAGTTTCCTTAACATATTCATTTAACTAAGTTAATTACTTAACGATTTTGATATGAAATTTAATATTCATTTGCCGTTATTATTTCTAAATAGTTAGTAGCCTACAATTTCGAAATATACAATATTAGATAAATTTTATTGAATTTATATCGTCTTACATTCTTACACAAATGTTTTTGCTCAATTTCCATTTTTTTAATAAATCATTGCAATAAGAAAAGTTCAAATATTCAATGAGTACACATTAATGGTTTACAATTCACAAAAAATGCTAAAGATCCTATCTAAGATATTTTCTATCCCACCCAGAAATCAATATTGTCATGAACACAAAAGAACATAAAATCTCGAACCAACATAATACCGTCATTAGTAGATGTCTGACCCTTATATAATATATAATCAGTCTTCGACCCTAAGGACACGAAAATTGTTTCTGCAAACAAGATCACTGTTTTGTAAAATTCCTTTCCGTATAATCGGGTTTGGGTGATATACGACGCTGGGTTTACGAAATATTTTGCATATTTTGCAAAAGTGCAAAAGACCACAATTTATACCGTGAGTGTGTGAAATACAGGTGGACATTACTTTTTACTACCTCGATGTGGAAATAGTAATTGTAACATTTTTGGAACGAAGTTCATTATCGCGCGGTGCGAAAGGGGGCTAGACTGAAAAAAATTAAGATCAAAAGTTGTAACGACACTTTTTGCTATAGTTGTAAAGCCGTGCGGCGTGCGCGTGTTTCTCTGTCTGTCTCTCTCTCTCTCATAGAAAGCAAGCCAGTTATTTTCGTTTCGTTTTTCTATTTCGCATTGAACAGTGTGGTGTCGCGACGATTATTTAATAAAATTGTTATTAAATAATTATAACTTTAAAAAAAATTACATAATAATGCGCGGATAATTTTTTGACGGCCAGTAACGTTTACATACAATGTATCATTAACATTTTGGTGATTAAATAACAAAATCCACATATAAATTCGTAGAGAATTAAAATATGTTTAAGTCTCTGTTTACAGGGAACCAACTAGCTCTTTTTATATATGTTATAACAGTAAGTTGTTAGTTTAATTAAATTATATAGCTATCATTTTCAATACAATCATAATTCAAAACGTAGCATCTGTTTAGTTTACATATACTACGCGGATTGATTTAAATTTCATGGAATCTTTTTTTTTAAATTGAATAATTACGTAAGAAGTAAGTGTAATATATTCTTACAACGCTGGCGCCAAAAAGCTAAGTATTATCTTAATGGAGCCAGGGCGACTGATTAGTGTCTAGTAAAACAAACGTATGCTCGATGATCGAGTGAGATGAAACAAGATACAGTGTTTCGCGAAACAAAAATTCAGTAAATGCCAAATGACTATTATTTAAATAACTAAAATGTACAATATTTAACAAAATCGCTAGTACGAGTTCTCGCTCAAATGAATGTGCTGTAATTCAATGAATTTTTGTCTCCATAATACTCGCCATGATTGAATAAATTGATTAAAACAAAATAATACAAAAGTTAAAGGGGACTTTGTGTTTTTTTTGTAACGAGTAATTTATATTGTAATGTGCTTTTAATTAAAGTCAACCATTGAAATTATAGTTTATTGACAATACATATTTAATGTATTTATTGTTTTTGGTGTTCAAAATCACACATCGTAGGTAGTGTGATTTTGAACACCCAACAACAACATTAATATTAATCGTTTAATATATAGTTTATAACAAAGTTCTTTATAATGTATAACTTCATGACCGAAACTACGGGTTAATCTTTTTAAGACAAAACCAATTTATTCCCCTCCAAGAAGTGTCTAACTAGTAAAAGTCTTGATTGCATTCTGTCATCGTAGTTTAAAGAGCTCAAAGTAAAATTAGGAACTCATCCCCTGTACGCATGGCAGTGAAAATTAATTATTCTCTTTAAGTGTCAAGTAGTTATCCGCCTCCAAAAGGTTTAGTAATTAGTAGAAGCTTACCATTGTTATTGGTTACAAACGAACGTTAATGTTTGTATTAATACTCACACTACGAAATTACACACGCACAATGCCTATTGTTCCAGAACCATTAAAAACATTTGCAACACTATGAAATCAACTGCTTATGACGATATTGTCGCTTATGCACTTTTAAATAAAATGTGTGTAATTAAAAAAAAGCAGAAAGTTTCTTTAGTTGCACAAATGATAAACAAACTGTGAAAACTGGAAAATATATATAACGTCACTCGTTCAAATTATTCGTTCGTTCGCTTTTCTTTATTTTATATCTAGTGATATAGGTATAGTCTGGATTATAGTAGGCCATAAAAGATCGTAATTCGTGTATGCGGTGATGTTAGTTATTTCGACTATGTATTTGCGTGTTGTTCCCACGAGAATGTATTGCGTGCTCCTATTTTACCATGCCTGCTGGTAGAGGACAAATCTTTGTTCTTAATTTTATCATACATTAATTATTAATTACTTAAGATGTCATGTGAAACATGGTGTAATGGTTGCAGCTCCTTACAAACATTGTGTAAAACAAAAAACGTAGCGATTAAAAAGAGTGCCGGGGAGTGTATTGCCAGTTCTTCTCGTCCGTTCTACGCCCTTGATTTGAGAACTGGCAGTAAATGTAGAATTAGAAGCATTTAGCTTTTAATATGTATTTCTTTTGTGACATTCATAAGTGTATATTGTGTTACCTAAATTAATAAATGATTTTGACTTTGACATTGATATATATAAGCAATCGAGAGTAACATTATGAGACACCATTGCTATGATTTTTCTGTTTGTAGTACACATTTTCTAGAACTTACCATTTCCTTTCATTGGTTGCAGCGTGGATACTATCAGTATCGGTGAGTTTAATGCAAGAGACAATATCCACACAGTTGCGATCATTTTGTACGCATGGCACTGGGTCTGCCACTTCCGGGATTTCAGCGGTCTGCAGATGGCGAAATATCTCTCAAGAGATATGGCCACAAGAGTCCACACGTCAACTGATACCGAGACAGCTGAAAAACAAACAAATATTTACATGGAATTCTACGGACTGTTTTAAATTGGGTTTCACATGTAAACCTTTTTTTATTTTCGAGGTGGCGCTAATGCAATTAAGCCTTAGTACCACAGCATTAATAAAGTTGAGAATCTATATTGCCCAAAGATTTGAAATTTTCAAACAATTAATGACGTATTGTCAAACTCATAGTATTGTCGGTAAAGCGACTCACATGAGAGTATGCAATGCTAATTTCATGCTAACATCAAACATCATCAACATCACAATATCAAATACAAAAATACAAACACATCATTAGAATATCAAACAGCGCACGTCCTTATTGCAGCTGTAGTTAAATTACGCGTACAATAACTTTATCGACAAAGTTTATTTAACCAGTTAATTGTTTCCAATTTAATAATTTGCGGGGTTTCCTCCTTACAAAGGCTGTGCTCTGCTGCTCTCTGACTATAACGAGCCGGAGCTCAATCTTCTTGGAAAATTAATTTGGTATACAAAAAGCGTTACGACAACGTCGGCGAGTTACAAACAGAATTGAGCCATATCATATCGAGAATTCATCATCATGATAAGAAAATCAACATGCAGCGGACTAATTAAAAGATTGGCGATTTGCAGAAGACCAGAGGGATCACACTCTAGCATTTAATTAATTTAAAAGAAAATACTTAATTGACTTCGGCAGTTTCATCATATGTGTTTAATTTGATTAATTTCACGTTGTTCCTTTCTTTCACAATACTATGTTACTTAAGAATAATTATTATTTATTGTCCATTGTCTTCTCAAAAATAAGGGGTGTTTTTTTTCACACTTGAGTCGGTTGGATTCCAAGACGAGACAAGTAACTATTAGAAAATCATTAAATGCAGTAATACTTACTTTTCAAAATAAAATAAAATTCTTTCAGCAAAATACTCTATCTATGATATTTAAGGTACTCGCAGAGCTTAGATTTTTGCTACTTACTTGATATTTTGGACAAGTCACCCAATATCTTTATAAATTGTAGCCTTGGTGTTATTCTGATGTATAATCTATATTATTGTAAAGTTTCATTAAAATTAATTTACTAGTTTTTACGTGAAAAGTAACAAGCATCCATCCATACTTACAAACGTTTATAATATTAGTAGGATGTGCATATAAATCTAGTGCATTTGAACCGCGTGCGTTCGACAGAACTACACCAGGGGGTCTAGCCATATTGGTGTCGAAAAGTATTCTACATACACTACCGCTTTTGCGTAATTGTATTGTCGAAAACGCTTCGTTCGTAGCCAAGAGACATGTCGATACATTACCGCAAAGTCGACAGCGTAGATGCGAGCTGCTGTTCGTAGCACCTTATTCCGTCATATTGTCTCTGGATTAAATGTATTCCTAATGTCACTTTTATAAACAAATAAAAGTTAAAACTTTAAAATATTATTGTAAATTTGCAATTGGAAGCTACAAAAGGGACATTAGAATGTCAGCAAGGTCGGAACAATTTTCGATTTAAGTGGAATTTACGGAAGGTGCAAAGTGAATATATGAATTTTAATTGCATGTTTAAATTAATTATGGTTTGTTTCATGTTTTCTCAGAAATTTAAGGCTACAAATAAATACAATATTTTGAAATTGCATAATCGCGATATATAATAATTAGTAGTACTCATACTTTGATATTTTTAGGATTTGACCTCACAACTAATCTACAAAATGAAGAAGCAACATATTTTGTTACCGCTTAGAAGAAACAATAAAAATAGTACTGTGGATTGATAAATAAAGAGTGAAAATAAGGTTGACTAGAAGTTGATAAAGTCCAAGGAATTAAAAAACAATAGAAAAAAACGTAGACTAGTGTGAACACTGAAATTAGAGTTTGATTTAAGCTTTAATTAGGTTTGGTGTTTGTGCTTGAACATTTTTAATGTCAATTTGAAAGCAGATTTATATATAAGTGTAGATTTTATTAGTGATTTGCTACTAGTTGGAATTATCTCTGTTTATGTCCAACAAACAATTTCAGTTTAAGTTAGAGTCATAAAAGTTGATTGTTTATAATATATTTATACTTTTAGAAAGTGAGAATTGAAAAACAGCAAGTACTCAATGAAATGAAAAGAGGAATTAATAAAAATTATAAAATAGAAACTTAGTCTGGTATGAAATTATAACCCTTAATCAACCTTTGATTCCATATTGATGCTCTAACATCTGAGATATAAATTTAAGTTTGATGCTGATTTTAAGTTAATATTTATGTCAATTAACTTTTGGTTATATCAGTGATTTGCTACTAGTTAATATGTAAATGCAAAAGCTGTTTAAGTAAGAAATGAATAAACATTGTATGTTATGTATTTGTCAGTTTTATTTTTGGTAATTTACCTATGTCTTCTTTAGTAGGAAAAGCCATTAAAGTGGTTCACAATATTAGTTTATTTTACAAGAATATACAGATAATGCATATATGAATTACCCATACCTACTAATAGTTAGGAATATTAAACAAACAGGTAGCAAAATAAAAATGTTTCAGTTATGGTTATTTTTTATTAAAATAAGGCACCAAATATCTTCTTTAACATAATGCAGTCTACATAGAAAAATAAGCATATGTAACAACTTATTAAACAATACAGACATTACTACTGAACACACGCAGGTGCACCAAATTAAATGCATTACTACCTAATGATGTATTCATATATGTAGATAATTAACTAATGTAAGTGTTAATTTGCAGCAATGTCAATATCTTGTTTGTGTGCTGTTATATACAAAAAATTGTTCAATTCATAAAACCTAACATTAGATGTTGTGATGATTTCATAAAATTACTATGATACCTACAGTTACTATGAATACATCCTGGGCGATTAAAAAAATAGTGATTGTTTCCTTAACACAACAATTGTAAATAATAATAGTTATTGTAAAGATATAATTCTTCCCAAAATCTACAAATGCAGTTTGTTTATAATAATATCTCATTAACATTCAAACTGCTGAACTTATTAAGATTAAATGTGGAAGAACATAGTTTCAGTTTCTGTTTCCTGTTCTTGAGGTAATGTTACTTAACCAACCATTATTTCATACTCCACTTGTCTTATTTTTTACATTATTCATAAAATGCTTCGTTCCCCATTATCAAATTCATTTTCAGATACATAATATAACACTTTAATTAATTAAAAGATAAGACTTTAATAAAACTTGTCCATTTGTGTTTTTTTTTAATACTTTTAGTTGTCTTTTTCTGAAAATAAAATATTTTAGTTAGTACTTTGATCAATAGGTAACTTTAATATTAAAAGTCTTTACTTCATTCTAAACTTAAAAATATACTTAATTTGTCACTTTGCTGCTTATTGTCAATTAAAGTTTTTAATAACCAAACAATGTCAGTAACTCCCAAAGGACTTGAATTAAAACTTCTCATTCATTAACAATATTATAATAACTTCTCTAGTATATTAACTTAGTAAATAATTAAAGAAAATATCTGCTTACCATTAAGTACTTAGTATTGCTCACTATATTTTATATTTCCAAAGTTCATGAAGTAAAAATCCACTTTATTTGATTAATTTAAATCAATATTATATCATTAGCTTCTATTATAATTACAATAAAATATATTTAGAACTTCTAATAATGTTCATTAGTGACTGCTTTCTCATCTGAAATATACAAATAATATGTACAATCATTTTACTTTGTGATTACATAATATAAGCAATATTAAATGGTATATGTATTTTTCAAATTAAAGAAAAATTTCATGAACTTACATGCAATATAAATATCAATAAAAGATATCCAATATAAAAGGATTTACCTCTACTAATTTGCTGATTTTCTTGATATTTTCATATTTATCTGTGTCTCTTCTATATCTTTTATGTTATCCTCGCATTGATTCATAGAAAAACTAAAACTCTTAAGTTAAAAATATTGACTCTAGTTTAAATTATTATAATTACACGAGAACGTTAAAAAAAGACAGATAACAAATTAAAACCATTTCGTTAAAATGTCCAATATATGTCATGTTTTTAAAACGGTAGCCATTAAAGATGGCGATAGTTGTACTGAATTATTGCAAACAGCAGCTTTTGAGATCACGCTAAAACATGGCGGAGAAACGCCGTTTTTTCTACACTGCCGAAACATTAATTGGCCGTTGGCTACCGAATAGCGTAAGCGTTAATGTGTGTCTTTTCGTAGCACTGTCATGGCGTCGCTTATTGTATCCCGACTCACGCCTTTAGGGCCTAGGCTACCGACTGTCGACACGAGCTGTCATTTTCATACAAATTTAGTTTTCGACTTTCTACATACACTACTGTTAAGCCATCTTGGCTAGACCCCCAGGCTGGTTGCACCCCATCTGGCACCGTTTTACCGGACAATTTAACGTCTTCGTCTAAACGTCGATTTATGTAAAAGTTATTTAATATATTAGCTTAAATTGAAATATGTATTAACTCAGGCAAAAGTATTAAACTGTTACTAAACTCATGCTGGTTTTGGAATCAATAAACTAGTATAAAATAAAAATAATCTTTACTCTGTATATAACAGAAATAAATCTTACTACTAATAGTGAGTTAATGAACAATCCTATCGCATAGCAAGCAAAGTATGCAAAGCGTGGTAGAAGTGTATAAAAGTAAACGCATTTTAATGGATTTAATTAATTGAACGATATTAAATGCCATTAGCAATTTATCTGCTAGCGCTACCTATAAAATGTTGTGGTAATAGTTTTAATTAAAGCTGTCTGTTAAAAAATAAGTTTCAAATCGTGGATACTTGAAGAAACTGTCCTTTCTTGTTAGCAACATTTTCACAGATGAATAGTGAACGGTTGCAATCAAAATTATTAATAAAACAAACGAGAAAATGTATCAGCCCCATATCACGGGTAAAGCAACAACCTAAATAAGATACCTCATAAAATGAAAAAGCAAATTTGATTGATATCAAA